TTTCATAGATTAGGGAAAAAAGAATGTGGTGTTATCAAAAGATGTTTTTACAGAGTTGGAGTAGTTAATGTTAAACATAGAGGTAAAATTTGTTTTCCCAGCTAGTGTTCACCAGGTCTTTCCCCGCCCTCCTCCTCCCCCCCCCGCCTTCCCTTACTCATTGATTCTTTTCAGTATGAGGAGTACCATGTAAGTTGTGAGACATGAAATTGTATAGTAGCTCTAATACCTTTAAAATATGCTGTATGTGTTCATATGGTGGTTATTATTTTTACCTAGCATGCTCACTTGTGTCTCTGTTTTGTATCATTTTGCTTCATAAGGTTACTGTAATGAAAGTATTAAATGGAGACCCTTTTTTCTGCAACGCTTCTTTCTCAGAAAAAGACATCTAATCTTTCTGATACTGTCAGTTTTGGCAGTGGAAGTAGTTACATAGATGTGTGTTCTTGTGATGTCATCATGTGTCTAAAACCCTGCTTGTTTTTAAAAACCAAAAAATCCCCACACATGGAAAGGATTTGCTTTTTATGAAAGAGGGTAGATAACAGACACCAGTTTGTTTACCTCTCTGTGGATACTAGTTTCTGATGCTTGTCGGTCTGGTCTATTATTTCATTGTGTCAAAACCGGGAAGTTTGGAAGTATTACTTTAGCCTTATCCCTTCCTATCAGAGCCTTCTACATTATTAAAATGGCAGTGAAATGTTAACTGTAATGCAATCGCTTGAAAAATAGCATAAATATTTCTGGTTTCTGTAGGCTTGGGAGTCTGTTGTTGCCTGTTTTTCTGGGTTTTTTGTTTTTTTGTGGTTTTTTTTGTTTTTTTTTTTTTTTTCTTTAGAGGAAAGAAAATAAGTCTGTAAAGAGTCTTAACACCTACAAAATCCTCACTTTCTTTATCCTTACTAGTAGGACAATAAGCTTGCTACTAGGAAGATTGATATTGGTGCTGTTTGAAGCCCCTCCTTACTGTGACATGAGGATTAATTATGTTTTCATTTTTATTGTCTCTTCTCACAGAGTTGGACTGCATTGCATTTGCATTGTGTTAATGTCTGTAGCTCCGAGTGTTATATAAGTGGACTATGTTTCTGAAGTTAACTATATTAATGTTGCTAACTAATTTCTATCCATTATCTTGAAATACTAAAAAAGATCTCTTCTCTCTCTTTTTTTTTTTTTAAGCGGGCCCAAGCTGTTCTTCAGGCAGTGACGGCTGTGCAGGCAACAAATGCTCCCATTAGCGGGACCACTGTTAGTGAGAGTGCAGTGACTCCAGCTCAGAGTCCAGTACTTAGAATAATTATTGACAATATGTACTATCCAGTAACCCTGGATGTTCTTCATCAGGTAAGCCAAATTTCATTTTAACTTGAGCTATGATTGGGAGGAACTAGTGTGTAAAACTTTACAATGTTTTTGGCAGATATTCTCTAAATTTGGTGCTGTATTGAAGATAATCACATTCACAAAGAATAACCAGTTTCAAGCTTTACTGCAATATGGCGATCCAGTAAATGCACAGCAAGCAAAACTAGTAAGTATAGTTCTCTTACGGCTGGAGACTTTCCTGTACTCTAAGCATTTGTAAAATGTTAATATAACAGAGTACTGACCTTAATAATGTGTCATACTCCTCCATTGCTTGTGTGAATTTGAGAAGTATTTAAAAAATAGCTGGGAGTTATTCTGTAATGTCATCATATTGCATAAAATCAGTGTTTAAAGATACTACGTCTAAAGAATTGTATACATCTATAAGTATGAACAAATATTTTAATAAGACTGCACAGAGATGATAAAATGTGCGAGACTACAATAGTGAAAATGTCAACCAGAAGTAAAACAGTAGGTTGTGATGTTGATGCATAATTAATGTGCTGTAAGCAGCAAATTTAGTAAGTCCATTGGATTATTGTTGGTAAACGCTTCCTAAGCATCAAAACAAAAATGTGATAGAGGTTTGTGAAAGTATTTAATTATAATCTCATTAAAAAAAATAATCTAGACTTCATTAGAACTATAAAGACCCAGAAGGGAGAGTATAGTCTTACTCATGGGACCAGACTATGAAGAAGCTTTGCAGCAATGACAGATGAGAGCAGGATCTTACTTTTGGTTTGTTGGAAACTCTCCTATCCTGGGTAGGAGAGGCAAGAACAGGGAACTGGTTTTATTCATCATATCAGGAGAGGGCCTGTGGATAAATTATGACAAAGATGAACAGCGTGTCATCTAGACCAGATGTTTTGAATTAATTGTATGGGTTATGTTCACATCTCTGGCAATAGGAAAGTTGAACCAAAGGGGAAGGCTACATTTTCTTTTTATTACTATTTTTTCAAGTGATAAATGGAATGAATTTATATATTCCAACTTTTACATGCAGTCTGGGTTTGTGGAAGGCTGATTAAAATTGATGTGCTGGTTAAGTGTTGCTTGGCAGCACAGGAAGTGCTTACTGCCCATAGATGACAGAATAGCTGAGAACTTCAGGAAAAAGTGAAAAGCTTACACCTCAAAGCTGGCAATGAATATCTCTTAGTAGAGGAAAGAAAAAAAATAGGCTTTTTTTTTTGTTGTTGCAAAAAATGATGACTATATTGAAATAAAGACCTTCATTAAGTGGTGGATGATGGTCATTTTTATCCCCATCACCAAATGAAATACTGGCTGTTGATGGGGAAAAAACCCGTGAGGTGGTCAAGACAGGGAATCACAAAAAATGAGACAAGTTTTCAAAAAGCAGAGTGTAAGTTTTCATGCTATTGAGAAAAATAAAGTTAGCCAGGGATAAGAAGATTTGCAGCTTGATTTATGATGACCTACTTTAAGATAATCTACTCTTGAAAAGCAGTCTGGAAATATTTGTAGATTAGGAGTACAATTTAAATTGGGGATAGCCTTTTCAAAGATTAATAGTACCAAATATTACATTGTGTCTCAGGGTAGAGGGAGATGCAAATATGTCACTGTAATATGTAAAAATTTGCTTGGATAGGATACACCTTTCGGGTTTTGAGTAGGTTTAAAACAATAATACAGAAACTAGACCTTTAATCTATTATTGCTGCAAAAATTGACTGTAGTCATTAGATTCATATTTGAAATATTTGATAAACAGTTGGATGCTAATGTGTTGCAGAACGTGGCAATTCAGTCTTGATTTGTGTTTGGAAAGTTACTTTTCAGTAATAGATGTTAATGCTGCTTTTAAAGTGCATTTTGAAAGCAAAATATGACATCAAGTGATAAATCTTTTGACTTTGTTTTTTGAGTCTTGCAAATATTATCAGAAGATCTAATGGAAAAATGGCATCTGTGGAATGGACTGTAGTGATTTGAAAATTATCAGTGTAATTCTAGGAATATATTACAAAGAAGTGACAAAATAACAAAAGGATGAGGTATGTAAAAGTATGAAAGGAACCTAGGAATCTTGCTATTGTTGACTTCTGACAAACAGATACTAGCTCATGGAATACTGTATTAGTCATAATTAAAAAAAAAACAAACATGTATTTGTTTCTCCAGTTCTGCATGTTTTCGTTAGGGTAGCTGTTCAGTAGCAGTAGGTTATGTGTGAATGACTAAACTTCAGAGAATAACAGTGACTGCTGCATGTATAGTCATTGTCCATATGGTCTTGGATCCTATCTTAGTGACAAATTGAAATATAGTTCATATTTTATTCAATCTATACATAAGTAGACAAAATGCTAAGAGTCTTGCCAACTGCAAGTATTGAAGAATGCTAAATTTGAAGGAAGATTTGATTTCCCCACTACCCTCCCAGGCTACATAGAGTAAAATAAGTACAGTTCTTATGGTTGAGCTACTGTGGTAAAACATGAAGTGCCACCAAAACAAAAATACCTAAAGGAAAGAAACAGTCAGATGGTAGGAGAAAACCCTTCAGTGTAAGTACATCTGGAAATACAGTAGAAGCAAGAGGTGGCTGCACTTAAGTTGCATGGAGTTCAAAATTAAAAGCATGGTAAAAGTGTCAAGAAGTTTTCAATTTGTTTTCAGTCAGTTGTTACTATAGAAGATAATGGGGAAATTTAATTTTCCACTGGCACTCTTCACAGGAAATCAGAATGTGGCCTTAATAGAAATTGAAGACTTATTAAGGAAGTTAAAGAGCAATTTGAAAAACTTGAGTGATGTAAGTACCAAGGAGAGATGCTATTCATTTGAAGGTTCTGAGAAAATAGTGACACTGACAAGAATGTACAATATGAAGCCTCTAGCCCTATGGGACCACTTTTGCTATTTGAATGAGCAAGTAGTGAAAAATTGCATTCC